AGAGAGAGAGAGAGAGAGAGAGAGAGAGAGAGAGAGAGAGAGAGAGAGAGAGAGAGAGAGAGAGAGAGAGAGAGAGATTACAGGCGGAGGTTACAGCGGGCATAGCGCCCAGGATCGGATCCGACATTTTTGAGGCAGACATTGATTGGACATTCGGCAAGGGACTATTTTTGGACTTTGCTATCGCGATAGTGGTCTTCTCTCCCGCCTGCATCTTCATCTCGCCTCTCCCCCCATCTCTCATCCATGGTATCTCCCCATGTGCGTGTACAGGGAGGGACCTTTCTTCTATGCGTGCGGTCCCTCCTCTTTCACATGTGTAGTGTATGATGGGATGTCGCATCAGTCCCAGTCAGGTCAGGCCTTATCTTTGAGTCTTCCACTGGGCTACATTGTGCCATTTTGTATGTATCGGGATGTACATTGCTTGTTGATGCTTCACTGACATTGCATTGTCCATTTCAGTCCTTTTCACCACTTTGCGGATCCTTGGCTCCATACTCATTGCCCAACTGGGCATGCGTCAGTTGGTATCGCAGCTCCGCACGTGAATCAGGACGAAACCTGATCTGACACGTGTATGGGGACGATTGATTAATTGCTTGACTGATTGATCATTGATTGATTGATTGATTGATTGATTGATTGATTGATTGATTGATTGATTGATTGATTGATCATGGGTTGATTGATCACTGATTGATTGATTAGGTCACACTAATTAGTCCGCAGTTTCACAAAATTTTGACCTAACTGCCAAAATCGAAAATTTTTTCCCCTTTTTTGGATTTTCCTCTTTGCGCAATTTTGTTTGTTCGCGAAACGCAAATTCCGAAATAGCGCAGCATCGGAAATTTCCGATTTTCGTTTTTTCTTGAATTTCGGAATTTCGCTATTGATAAAAACGAAATAATGTTTTCGGAATATTTCTGCAATCAGACTCGTCTTCGTCCTTACTCAGCATGCATGAAAACAGATGGCAATCACACTAGCGCCAGGCGCCCACACAAAGCTCAGAGATATTGAGGCCAAGAACACAGTTCAGATTCAAATTGCCTCAGACGGCTATGGCGCCTGCACGCCTACACACTTCTCAGCCGACACTGTATCCCCAGCAACTGTTCACACGCACACTACTCTGGATCTCCCTGGATGTCCCACACACACACACACTTCACGCAACGCACTCACATATACACGCTACAACCTATCTGTAACCTGCGGCAGGTATGACCGCCTTCTACTTCCTAGCTACTAGTGGCTATGGCCGCTTCACCTCCCTCACAGCCCACTTCTCCTTCGGGCACCTGCAGACCTCCTAGCACAAGATGCTCAGGCAGAGCTTCCGCACGGCTCACAGGCAGAATGAATGAATGAATGGATGCTGCCTCCTGATTTATACTTCGGATGGTTGCTGGTCGGGCCCTTTCCACCAGGCCCAGGGTGCACACAGTCCCACATGGTACTTGCTGACTGGACAAAGTGCGACTGGGACTGGGTACCGCTGACTAGGCAAAGTGCGACTGGGACTGGGTACCGCTGACTTGGACTGCCCACTTGCCCACTTACCTCTAGACTGACCCCGAGGACACTTCGAAAGGCCACCTCTGGACCTTCCGGAAGTCTGTAGACTTGGCCTTTTGTGACTGTAGCAGCTACGACCTTGACCTTTCAGGACTGTGGCAGCTACAACTTTTACACAGCTAAGTCCCCTACTTGACAGACCTACGGATCAAGACCCGACGACCACACTAAGCTACAACAGACAACAGGCGACTATCAAGACACAGGTCGCAGGTTCAAACACACAAGGGTCGACTGGTATTGTACACGGGTGCGGGCGAGGTCCAGGGATCGAGCCCTGGGATCTACGTCTCCTACCGTAAAGGTGAAAACCGTTTCACTCCCGCCGGCCCAAATTCAAGGTCCTCCGAGAATATGTCAATCTACAGCAGGATCTTTACCGTTCTTAGCTCTTTCATAGGCACGGACTACATCGGGAGCAGTCTCTAGAAGCTCTGTTCGTGTAAACCAGCGGTCGTCTTCTGGTTCTTGGTAAGAAATCTGACTTTATATTGTTTCTGTAGACAACCTCTACCTCCTGTTCCAAATACATCCTCAGCTATTATGTGATCTATGCAGTACCTTCCGTCCATATCCGGAGGCATCATGGACCTTCTTGATGGGAATTGCTGACTCATAGTGCAAGGCAACAACTTTCACGCATGGAAAACTGGGTAGGTGTGGAGGTGTGCCGAAATCTCTATGGTGTAGGACGACCCACCATCTCCGCCCTTGACTTCTAAGACTGGCCACGGTCCTCTATACGCAGGCAACAGCTTCTGCGAGATGATCTCCTCAGGGGCAAGTTCTTTGGACTTGACCCAAACTAGGTCGCCTACCTGGAACTGTGACAGGCTACGGTGCTTGTTGGCTTGCTCTACCATCTTATGCTGGGCCTTCCTGAGGTTCTCTATCACGGTAGCCATCTCTTTCTCGTGCTGTAGCGCAAACTCCCTAGTACCGGGCGGTAGCCTCTGGGTCTGATCCCGGTTCAGTCCTTCAAACGGCCTACACGGTTTAAAGGACTTACGCAGTTCGGACTCCATCGGACAAAGCAGGCCCTCCGGAAAGCCGATTTCAGGACGGCGGTGAGGTTTTCCGGGAGCCCACAGCCTGGAAAACGGTATCTGGAAAAGCCACATTTTTCGTTTTCACATCGGTTTCCTGTCGGAAAAGTGGCTGTGGAGGGGTTTCCGCCGTATTTTTGTGCCCTTTCCAGAGAGTAGGGGGGGGGGGGCATGTCCATGGTTGGAAACTCCTCGCCGACCCACCGGCCCATCCATTGTCCGCCCGAAGCCGTTCCCTGGCCCACTGGACAGAGCTACGGACATGCTGTTGTCGCCCAAGAGGGGGGGGACAACCGAAACAAGCGCAAGGCCGGACATCAGCGACCACCATCTGGTCCATCTCCAGTTTCCAGCCTTTCACAA